TGTGGATTGGCCCCGAGCAGTGAAGCTGAACCAGGCAGCATGGGTCAGGAAAACTGCTCAGTGTAGGAGCACCACACACCCTGTGGGATAGCATGAAAAGCTGCGTATGGACTCCCCAGACCCCTGGTTTAAATCAATTCAATAGTAACCTCGGGACCTTGGCAAGTCGCTGTAACCTCTGTGAACCTCAGGTCCCTCGTTCGGGAAATGGGATAACAGCATCTTCCACAACAAGATCTTTGTGAGAATGACTGAGCTGTGAAGCACCCACCTTGGGCTTTTGATAAACGATAACTGTGATTAGGATTAATCCAATCACTCAGTAACCATTTATTGAGGACACGTAAGTGTCAGACACAGCTCTTGGGATAGAGTCTAGTGGGGAGGTGAGAGAGACAACCCCCAACAGCGTGTCGGGGGTGGTGAGGACATGAATTCACACAGAGCAGGTGGGGAGGGTGGGGCACGGGGAGCTCCCTGAGAAGGTGGCTTGGAACAAAGCCTTAAAGCAAGGAACTGCATGACTCATGATGTCTGTAGAGGGAAAGATACAGAAATGCCTGGAGGTGGGATGTGTCTGGAGGTCCCACACCAGTGAGTAACCCTGCAGCTGAGTGGAAAGAATGACGGGGAGGGTGACAGCTGGTGAGGTTTCAGAGCAGAGTGGGGGGCAGGTCACACAGACCCTACAGACCCTAAGGGGGTGGATCTGAGCCCACATACTTGGCTATGTGTTGGTTTCTAGGGCTACAAAGACATGATTCTGGCCCTTGAAGGAGCTTAGAGTCCAGTCTAGTGGGACCCTGGGCAGTTCAGTGGAAACTGGCCCACCGGCTCTCTATGAAGGCACAGCCTCATCCCAACCCCTCCACCCCTAACCCCCATCAGCCTCATGGAGGTTCAAACTGGCTGGATTCCTTGGTGTCCTCTGTCACCGAGGGTAGGGGCCAACCTTCAGGCGAGTCTTGGAAAAGCCTCCCAGAGGCTAGTGAGTGGGATTCAGGTCTTTTTAAAAGAGGCTGCACACAGTGCTGGACCCTCTTGCCCTTCCATCCTTTCCACCATGTGAGGAAGACACTTAGACGGAGCCATCTGCGAGGAACTGTCCACCAGACACCAGTCCTGCCCATGCCTGGAGATCTGAAACTTTCCGGTGTCTAGGACCAGGAAAAATTAATTTCTATTGTTTATAAATTACAAGTCTGTGGTATTTTGTTATCACAACATGGATGGACTAACACAACTGTTAGAGGAAGCATCATGGCCCCTCACCCAAGAATCCATCTATGACACCATGTATCACAATCCTAGGCATAAACACTCAATGTTTTTTAATAAACAAATGAAGGAACAGATAAGTTGAAATGCCTACCTGTACACAGAGAATACGTTTAAAACATCACAAAGCAATCTTGAAAAAGAAGAACCAAACTGGAAGACTTACAGTATCCAACTTCAAGACTTACTACAAAGATGCAGTACTCAGGATAGTGTGGTCTCGGCATAAGGACAGTGAAGAGATCACTGGAACAGAAGAGAGAATCCAGAAAGAGATCCACCCTTATGTGGTCATGCGATTTCTAACAAAGATGCCAAAGTCACTGGGGGAAATAATAGTCTCTTTTTTTAACAAATAATACTAGATTAATTAAATATCCATATGGAGAAAAATGAGCCGCAATCTCTACATTACACAATTCACCCACACGCAAAAGTAATGACGAGCTAGCTGGAGCTCAGCCCTGAATGTAACAGCTAAACTTTTCTAAACTTCTAGATCAAAACCCAGGAGAACATCTTCATGACTTACAGATGGACGAGACACAGACTTAACCATAAAAGAACATGCTGATAAACCCGACTTCATCAAAATTAAAAACAACAAAAATCAAAAGACACCAATATTTATTACTCCCTCTGTTTATGAAAATGTTCACAATAAGATGTTGTAAGAAAGAAAATCCATTCTCAAAGTATAGTAAGGGTTTCCCCAAATCCCAACCTAAGTAAAATACCACTTCCAAGCCCTGTTGTCACATTCTAGTTTCTCTCACAAGCCGACAGCTCATCCTTCCCCTTGTGTACTGATGCCATAATAATCATGCCGCACATAATACGAGTACTTGGGGCCAGGCATGGTGGCTCATGCCTGTAATCCCAGCTACTCGGGAGGCTGAGGCAGGAGAATCACTTGAACCTGGGAGGCGGAAGTTGCAGTGAGCGGAGATGGTGCTACTGCACTCCAGCCTGGACAACAGAGCGAGACTTTGCCTCAAGGAGAAAAAAAAAAAAAAAAAAAAGCATACTTGGATGAGGCACGCACATCAGAACGGCCATAGGGGAGGTGGGTGGGTGGCCTGGTGGGTGAAGATTCCCTCCACAACACTTTTCTACCCAGGCACCATGTCCATCCTTGTAAGGCAAAAACCTCAGAAGGATGCCTTCTTCCTAACAGAGCCTCATGGCCAAACACCTGTTTGACCCATTTAAATGGAAGAATGAAAATTCTAGGCCAGATGAGGTGGGTCATGCTTATAATCCCAGCATTCTGGGAGGTCAAGGTGGGCAGATCACTTCAGGTCAGGAGTTCGAGACCAGCCTAGCCAAAATGGGAAATCCCTCTCTACTAAAAATACAAAAATTAGCCAGACGTGGTGGCATGTGCCTGTAATCCCAGCTACTCGGGAGACTGAGACATGAGAATCGCTTGAACCCAGGAGGCAGAGGCTGCAGTGAGCTGAATCGCACCATTGCACTCCAGCCTGGGCGACAGGGCGAGACTCCATCTCAAAAATAAAAATAAAGATGAAAATAATGAGGCTGGGCACGGTGGATCATGCCTGTAATCCCAGCACTTTGGGAGGATGAGGTGGACAGATCACCAGGTCAGGAATTTGAGACCAGTCTGGCCAACATGGTGAAACCCCGTCACTACTAAAAATACAAAAATTAGCCAGGCATAGTGGTGGGAGCCTGTAATCCCAGTTACTCAGGAGGCTGAGGCAGGAGAATTGCTTGAACTTGGGAAGCAGAGGTTGTAGTGAGCCAAGATTGTGCCATTGCACTCCAGCCTAGGCAATAGGGTGAGACTCTGTCTCAAAATCAACAAATAAATAATGAACAAAGTTCTACCTAGGAACACGATGTTACCAGAAAAAATCTGTCATTATGCAAACAGTACAGCACTCTGAACAGACACTGAAAACACCTCTCATCTCAAAGACCCAAGGGCTTGCATCACAGTATGAGAAATGCTGGGGATGCCGGGAAAAACAGCGTGGAATGAGCGAAGACTTCCCCCCAGCCCGTGGTCTCTTTGTGGACCCATTACCTTGCATTCCCAATCATATTAGATCACTCTCCACCCAGAGGCTCCTCAAGACTTTGAACAGTTCTTCAGTGGCCCTTACAGAAAGACACTCTTTCCAAACAAATGCAGTATTTATATTCAGTTTATTGGATCTCTAGGAAACACCAAAATTATCAGTGAAAAATATATTAAATGGCTCAAGGCCTCCTGTCAGGCATATTTCTGTGACTTCACAGTAAAATGCCTAGAACTAGTTCCTGTTTCTGCAATGAGGTATTCCTTTAGAGTCAATGATAACTCACAGACAAAACTACAAGTTCACGCAGGGGATACCTTGAAGCTCTTAAAGAAGAAGAAACCTGGCCAGGAACAGTTGCACATACCTATAATCCCAGCACCTTGGGAGGCCAAGATAGGTGGATCATGAGGTCAGGAGGTCAAGACCAGCCTGGCTAAGATGGTGAAACCCCATCTCTACTAAAAACTACAAAAAGTAGCCAGGCAAGGTGGCAGGCGCCTGTAATCCCAGCTACTCGGGAGGCTGAGGTAGGAAAATCACTTGAACCCAGGCAGCAGAGGTTGCAGTGAGCCAAGATCATGCCACTGAACTCCAGCCTGGGCAACAGAGTGAGACTCCATCTCAAAAAAACAAAAACAAAAGCAAAAAAAAAAAAAAAAGAAGAAGAAGAAGAACAAGAAGAAACCTGAAGATGTCTTCTGTGTCATGGGGATAACAATGATTGATCTTTACCCAAGAAACTCCTGAAATTTTGTCTTTGGACAGGCCCCTTTGACAGATGGTGTAGGGATATTCAGCTTTGCTAAGCATGGCAGTGATTTTTATAACTTGTGCTATGAAGGCAAAGTGAGAAGGCACTGGAAAACATCTGCTAGTGACTATTCAATTTTTGATAACTATTACATTCTGGAAAGAATTTGTGTTTCACTATGTTGATCCCGTAAGATTTTAATCCATGAGATTGGACACACATGTGGACCGTGACACTGCCAGTGGCTTGCGTGCCTAACGCAAGGCTCCAACCACTTGGAAGAAGCTGACCAGTACCTCTTGCCCTGTTTACGCAAGTTGCAGAGTGTGACTGACTTCAGCGCTGTAGAAAGCTACAAAGCACTGGGGCGGGGCAGGGAGTGGACTGATGATAAATCTGCGGCACACCTGTAGTAACTCCGAAACACAGGCCTGAGGGTGATGTGACTTACCAAAACCTGCAGGAATCTTTAAAGAATGGAAAGATGGGCCGGGCGCGGTGGCTCACACCTGTAATCCCAGCACTTTCGGAAGCCGAGGCAGATGGATCACCTGAGATCAGGAGTTCGAGACCAGCCTGGTCAACATGGTGAAACCCTGTCTCTACTAAAAGCACAAAAATTACCAGGCATGGTGGCGGGCACCTGTAATCCCAGCTACTCAGGAGGCTAAGGCAAGAGAATTGCTTCTACCCAGGAGGTGGAGGTTGTAGTGAGCTGAGATCGCGCCACTGCACTCCAGTCTATTCAACAAGAGCAAGACTCCATGTCAAAAAAAAAAAAAAAATAGAAAGATGGATGACAAAATGCCTTGCCATTCTCCAAAAATAAGGACCTTCAAATAGGAGTGATCAAAATAAATACTCGTACATTATGCTTTCAAACAAACACACATACAAAAGAGCAGTGGCATGAGACTCACGTGTCTAAAGCCTCCAGAGAATATGGCACTGGGTGCTGGACTGGATGGGAGTTTCTCTTGCTTCAATATAGGGTAAGTAGAGCCTTTAGGATCCTCTTGATTGAGAGGTTTCAGAATATCTGGTGCACTGACTTTCTGAAAAGGAAAAACAAAAATTGATATCACAGTCTGCATCCCAGTTTGGTTTTGTTCAAATGTGGTGGCTTCAGCAAGCAGATCGTGCATCTATTACTTGATGTTAATATGCAAACTTCTGAATAGGAGGACATACTGCATTTGGTACACACATGTGCATGTGCACACATGCACGCGTGCACGTGTGCGCACGCACACACACACACACACACACACACGCACGCAGGGCCCAGAGACAGACAACATCCAGCTTTGGGACAGTCATGAACAGTGATGGGTAGATTACTCATGCATTACTAAAAGTCTTTCATTTTAGCCTTAATAAATGGTCCTGGCATTTAATCACTTGACATAAAACAATTAGCCTGATAAGCAGAGTTTTAGCCCTAATATGCTTATAAAAAGGAATAAATCAAAATATGTCTCTAAATTTTCTAAAAATATTTTGTGAATAGTTGACACTTCTCTTTTACTTATTTATTTATTGAGACAGAGACTTGCTGTGTCACCCAGGCTGGAGGCTGGAGTGCAGTGACACAATGTTGGCTCACTACAGCTTCTGTCTCCCGGGTTCATGCATTTCTCCTGCCTCAGCCTCCCAAGTAGCTGGGACTATAGGCACCCGCCACCAGCTAGCTAATTTTTATATTTTTAGTAGAGATAGGGTTTCACCATGTTGGCCGGGCTTGCCTCAAACTCCTGACCTCAAGTGATCCACCTCCCTCGGCCTCCCAAAGTGCTGGGATTATATGCATGGGCCACTGCTCACAGCCAAGTTGATACTTCTATGATGTATACAGCTGTGTCTTCCAGTATGGCAGTCACTAGCCACACATGACTACTTAAACTTCAATTAACTGAAATCAAACAAAATTAACTCAGCTTCTCAGCTGCCCTAGACACATCAAAGGCTTGGTGGCCACATGCAGCCGTGGTCATTGTTTGGACAGCTCACATAAAGCTCATTCCCATCCCTGCAGAAAAGGTTCATTGGACAGTGCTCACAAAGATCAAAAAACACAATGGGCAAGGTGGGAAAACCTCTTAATGGCTGAAAATACAAAGTTTCCAAGCAGAACTCAGAAATACAATAGTTGACCCATAGTCATAATTTTCAGAAAGAAAATACTGAGAATATGACAGAACAAATGAAAGAAAAGCTTACCTTCGAGTTATTCATGCTATCCATCCCCAGAATGCCAACTTAATTCCTACAGACATTTATTTGTTAAGCAACACTATATTCACTCCACCACGCTAAACTCCGGAGGCTGGAAGAGTAGAAGGGGAGGAAGAGAGGAGAAAGAGGAGATGCGAGGTCCACCCTCCAAGGGCTCAGTAGCTAGTAGGAAGACAGACACACCATTCAAACGGAAGCACCAGCCAGCTCGGTGGGAAAGAGGCAAGGGAGCGTTTCTTCAGCATGCGAGCATCTGGGGCCGGCTTGAATGGGGCTGCAATCATCTGAGAGGATGCTGAGGCTGGCGGGGGTGAGCCTGGGAGGGGAGGCCTTCCACGTGGAACAGCTGGTGATGGTTAAACAGAAAGCACGTCCTAGACCTGCAGACACGTGGACAGACCACGAGCACATAGGGGATGAGTGAGGTTGTCAGAGGGAACACTAAAAGTGTGAGAGAAGTGTCAATCAAAGCCACAGCAAAGGAGCCAGAGGCTGGAAGAGCCAGCAGATCCACTGAGAGGGGTTCAAGAATGAAGGTGTTCCAAACAGAGGAAGATGGAGGAGAAAAAGCTTACCTGCAGCTAAAGAAAGGCACATTTTACATAGCTGCCCATTAAATGGGCAAATGCTAAAAATTATGAAGTTGAGTTTTACAAGATGAAAAGAGTCCTGGAGATGGATGGGGGTGATGGGTGCCCAACATTAGAAAGGTTTTCAATGCCATGAAATAGGCACTTAAAATGGCATAGATGGTAAGTTTTGTGTTATGTGTATTTATTATAAAAATTTTTGAGGAAAAAAAGGTACAAAGTTGAGTGTTGGCAAGACTGCTGGAAAATAGGTGATGCCCTTCCAGTGGTCATGTGAAGTGAGTCAACCTCAATGGAGGACAGCTTGTCAGCATGAACTAAAAGCCCTAAAAGTAGCAGTTAAAAAGGAATAGCTGGCCAGGCACAGTGGCTCACACCTGTAATCCCAGCACTTTGGGAGGCCAAGGCGGGCAGATCACCTGAGGTCAGGAGTTCAAGATCAGTCTGGCCATTATGGTGAAACACTGTCTCTACCAAAAATACAAAAATTAGCCAGGTGTGGTGGCACGCACCTGTAGTCCCAGCTACTCAGGAGGCTGAGGCAGGAGAATCACTGGAACCCAGGAGGCGCAGGTTGCAGTAAGCCAAGATCGTACCACTGCACTCCAGCCTGGGCGACAAAGTGAGATTCCATCTCAAAAAAAAAAACGGAAAAAGAAAGAAAATCTTCTTCCTCAGTTCCCCTCCCAAGAGATTGCCCTCCTGACGGTTTTTAGGCATCCTTCCTGTTCAACAGGTGCATGCTTTTATGGCCAATATAGGTCAATACATTCATAACACATACAGTAAAATCCCAGTGAAATGCACAGGAAAGGACAGGTAAGAATCCACATCTTGAGGAATCCTGGCCCAGATGCTTAAGTGAGCACTTTTGAAGGCGTGTTTTCAGAGCATGTGGTTCAAACTTAACAGTCAGAGAAGTGGTGTGGAAAATATCCTGAGCTGTTTTCTTGGTTTACACCCCCAAGTCCCCGCGTGGTTTAAAGGAGGGAGGATCACCTGAGCCTAGGAGTTCGAGACCAGTCTGGGCAACACGGTGAAACCTCATCTCTAGAAAAAAATTCAAAAATTAGCTGGGTGGAGTGGTATACTCCAGTAGTCCCAGCTACTTGAGGGTGCTGAGGTGGGAGGATCGCTTGAGCCCAGGAGGTCGAGGCTGCAATGAGCCATGTTAGTGCCACTGCACTCCAGCCTGGGTGACAAAGTGAGACCCTGTCTCCAAGCAAAAAATAAGGAAAGCTACCTACTACTTCTGTGCTTCAATGTAGCCATTTGCAAGGTGGGCACCAACATCCCCTACTTCCAAAGCAGGGGCACCATGCTCTATCATTAACGCTGGCAAGATGCTGCAACACGTTCTGATGAAAATGAGAGGAATATTGGTGAGCTCCGCAGCTAAGGCATGTGAACTGCCGTCTGACGAATGTTTTGTTAAAACATGTACTCCTGGGCCAGGGCTGACACCTGTAATCCCAGCACTTTGGGAGGCTGAGGCAGGAGGATCAATTGAGCTCAGGAGTTTGAGACCAGCCTAGGCAACACAGCAAAGCCTGTATCTACTAAAAATCAAAAAATTAGCCAGGTATGGTGGTACATGCCTGTAATCCTATCCACCCAGGAGGCTGAGGCATGAGAATCATGTGAACCGGGAGGCAGAGGTTGCAGTGAGCTGAGATTGTGCCCCCGCACTCCAGCCTGGGCAACAGAGTGAGACTCTGTCTCAAAAGCAAATAAAGACATACTCCTTATATTTCAACCCACTAGTTATTTAGCATTTATAGATCACACTATGATGGCTGAGTACTTTATAAACATTTGGCTAAATTGTCCCTTAAAACAGCCATATCTGCCTGGGCGTGGTGGCTCACACCTGTAATCCCAGTACTTTGGGAGGCCTAGGTGAGAGGACCGCTTGAGCCCAGCAGTTTGAGACCAGCCTGGGCAACATAGTGAGACCACATCTTTACTAAAAATAAAATATATCAGCCAGGCATGGTGCCATGTCCCTGTAGTCTCAGCTACGTGGAAGGCTGAGGTGGGAGGATCGACTGAGCCTGGGAGATCAAGGCTACAGTGACCCATGATAGCACCACTGCACTCCAGCCTGGGAAACAGAACAAGACTCAGTCTCAAAACGAAACAAAGAAACCAACCAACCCAGCCACATCCTCAATTAAGGTGGGAGAGAGAAGTCCCGCAGAAAGCTGTAAGCATGTCCTGCCAAGAGCGTGGCTGAGAGGTGGACACAGGCATACGACGTCCACTGGATGGGCTGTCTCCCCACCGCCTCCCCCGCACCCACCACTTTTGTCCCTGAGTTCCCTTGGTCCATCAGACAACCCTGGTCAGACTCTGAGCCATGTGCCCGGGCAGGCTCTGGGCCATGTGCACATGCAGCAGGGGAGGGGCTGTGCCAAGGACCCACAGGCCATCCTCAGGCAGAACGCCACAAGCCCAGCCTGCGGTATGTGGGATGTGCCACCACACAGAACATCACAGTGCAAATGAGAAATGCATCCCAGCTCTGCGACATGGGCAGGGTGTGGTTGGTTTCTGGAGCAGGCTCCACCTAGCTATTGGTCATCTCTGTGCCCCAGTGTCCCATCTTTAATGGGGACAGGAACAGTGCAAGCCTCACAAGCCTGTCTTAAGGATGACAAAGTCTAAATATAAAGACCTCTACAGGCATTACGCCAAGAACAATGCCAGGCCCCTGGTTAGCCCGAAGTCTGTGTCAGCCTCTGAGTGGTTTCCTATGACTCAGGCGAGTAAGAGAATTACTCATACTCCCACAATCCCCTTCCTGAACGCTCTTTTTCAGCAGTCCTCATTTGTCCTTCTTATGTGAACATAGAGTTTAGAAGTCAGAGTCAAATCCCGGGTCTGTTCCTGGCTCTATCTTTCATTCACTATGTGACGTTAGACACGTTGGTTAACTTCTCACTAAAACTCAACTTCTTTTAATTTTTTTTTTCTTTTTTGAGATGGAGTTTCATTCTTGTCACCCAGGCTGGACTGCAATGGCGCGATCTCGGCTTTCTGCAGCCTCCACCTCCTGGATTCAAGCGATTCTCCTGCCTCAGCCTCCTGAGTAGCTGGGATTACAGGAGCCTGCCATCATGCCCAGCTAATTTTTGTATTTTAAGTAAAGACAGGGTTTTGCCATGTTGGCGAGGCTGGTGTCGAACTCCCTACCTCAAGTAATCCACCTACCTCAACCTCTCAAAGTGCTGGGATTACAGGCATGAGCCACAATGCCTGGCCAGTTTTTATTTTTATTTTTATTTATTTATTTTTTTTGAGAAGGAGTCTTGCTCTGTCACCAGGTGCCAGGCTGGAGTGCAGTGGTGCCATCTCGGCTCAATGCAACCTCCGCCTCCCGGGTTCAAGCAATTCTCCTGCCTCAGCCTCCCAAGTAGCTGGGATTACAGGTGCGTACCACCACGCCCAGCTAATTTTTGTATTTTTAGTAGAGATGGGGTTTCACCATGTTGGCCAGGATGGTCTCGATCTCTTGACCTCGTGATCCGCCCATCTCAGCCTTCCAAAGTGCTGGGATTATAGGCGTGAGCCACAGTGCCCGGCATTTTAAATTTTTTATTATTATTATTATTTGAGATAGGGTTTCATTGTGTCACCCAGGCTGGAGTGCCGTGTTGAAATCATGACTCACTGTAGCCTTGACTTCCCGGGCTCAAGTGATCCTCCCACTCAGTCTCTCAAGTAGCTAGGATTATAGGCTTGCATCACCATACCTGGCCAATATTCGTATTTTTGTAGAGACAGGGTTTCCCCATATTGCCCAGGCTGGTCTCGAACTCCTTGGCTTAGGCAATCTGCCCAGCTCAGCTTCCCAAAGTTCTGGGATTACAGGCATAAGCTACCCTGCTCGGCCGATCTTTACCATGGGTGGAACAATATCTATCTCGGTATTTTTGTAAGAGTTAAATGTGATAAAGTAGGTAAGAAAAAAACGCTGTCACCATGTGGGGCACACAGAGCTTCAGAAGTGGCTGCTCACCTTCCCTTCTGCCTGTTTCACCAGGAGAAGGAGTGATCCCTGGAGGGAGTTCGGATGGCACTTCTGTAGACCCCGGGAAGCTGGCATGAGCTGACACTTGTTTGTGTTTTAGAATTTCAAACACCTGCCAAATACATTTCAAACCGTCTAGAACCTCGCTCCTAAAGTGTGGTCTGCGAACCTCATAACATAGACTTCGCCAGATCCCAGGAGCTCACCAAAAATGCAATCTGAGGTTCCTCATCTCATGCCCAACCCGCAGCTACTGGTTTGGAATCTGCATTTTAAGAGCCCCAGTGGGGCCATATGCGGTGGTTCACGCCTGTAATCCCACCACTTTGTGAGGCTGAGGCAGGCGGATCACCTGAGGTTGGGAGTTCAAGATCAGCCTGACCAACTTGGAGAAATCCCGTTTCTAATACAAAAATTAGCTGGGCACCTGTAATCCCAGCTACTCAGGAGGCTGAGGCAGGAGAATCACTTGAACCCAGGTGGCGGAGGTTGCAGTGAGCTGAGATCGCACCACTGCACTCCTGCCCCGGTGACTCCCATACTCATAAGAGCTGGGAATCACTGCACCAGAGTTCAGTCCACTTTTGGCTATACAACCTTGGGCATGTGACTGAATCTCTCTAAGCCCCCATTTCTTTACATGTAAAATGACGCTGCATGCAATACCTACCTGAGAGGGTGCTTATAAAGACAAAATGAGATTGTCTACTTAAGCTTTTAGTACAGAGTCCAGCACATCACAGTAAATGCTGGCAATTTAGATAAAATATTTAGATGATTTAGATAGCAAATCAGATACATTATCTCATGACATGCTCATAAAAACCCAGTGCTGTGGACAGAACGGGTGTTAATGATCATCTTCATTTTACAGAGGGGACACTAGGCTCCAGTGGGAAGCAGGACGTGAACTCTCAAGATGGTACAGGCAAGTTCCAGCAGGAGAGGGGGGCTGACCTCACACCCTCGCCCAAAGGACCGTCTGCCGGGGGCAGCTTGAGTGGAGTCCACAGCAGCAGAGAAGGGACACCGGTTCTGTCCAGCCGACCAGGGCAGTCACATCAACTCTGCAAGGCACAGTGGGTGGTACCTGGCCAGCCACGGCACCTCAGCTGACCGAGAATGCAGCCTTTCCCATCCTAAGATTGGCTTTCTCTCATACCCGAAGCATTTGCTCCAGGCTGGGTTAGTCCCGGTGGAAAGGTGGGATAATTATTTCCCTAGAACCTTTATTAGGGGAGCTCTCACTTGTGGTATGGACGGCGTGGGAAGAGTGCCCTGCAGGCTTGCTCATATCTTTACGTTTTCAGTGGTTTCCATCAGAGGCCAGGACAGATTTTAGCCAAAGGCTGCGGGTCTGGCAGACTCCAGGGCTAACTTGGCAGGTGTGGGCCCAGCAGGAAGCCCCTGGGCTTTGGTATGGCCTTGAAGCCGGCAGGGAGCTCTGTGGACAGAGAGGAACCTCAGGAGCTTGTGATTAGGTGGAGGCCTTTTCCTGTCTGAATGGTTTTCCAGAGTGACCTTGAATCCTGACCTGCCTTGGGCCAGACCTGCCCACATAGCGGAGCTGACTGATAATTATGTTTTTCTAACAGCTTACTGTTTTTCCACAAAACAAAAGAAAACATAAATATACAGAGAAGGCAAGCTAGAAAGTCCTGTGGGACAACATAAAGGTGATCGGCGTGGAGGCCTTTCGGGGCTCAGGGTACCCTGGTGGTGACGTTGACCGCCGTATCAGACTGGCTCCGTCTCTCTGTCTGGCCCGAACACTGCCTGGGGCCCGTGGTAAGAAGATGCTTCTCAGAAGTCATGTCATTCTGGGACTTGGAGAGCTCTAAAAAAGCAAACACAAGGGTTGATGGGTGGGAACACGCAGCTTTGCTGACTTGTGGGAGCCTCTTCTGGGGCTCCCTGAACCCACAGACAGTGGGTCTCAAGGTCCCAAGAGGGCAAAGCATGGAGGAGCAAGGGAGACACATCCCCCACCAAGTGCAGAGGCACCGGGGGCAGGAGGGTGGCAGACACTGGGTGCTGGACTAGGGCAAGAGAGGGCTGGCTTCCTTCCAGGTCCCACTGAGGTCACCCAGGCCACGGTCAGGGTGAGAGTTGAAGGGAAACCTTCCACCCAAGCTCCTCTGCACTCCGAGTCACACATATGCGTGCACACTCGTCCAAAGACGAAGACAGCAGCCTACCACACAAGCCGGCTTTCTAGGAGTTCCTTACAAAGATGTTACAATTAACACCATGTGACTCTTTGAAGAGAGGTAAAAATGAGATTTGGGGTGTCCTCATAACAATGATAGTAAGTAAACCCTGAAAAGATGGCGCTAAAAAAATGTGTTTCATTTTTACAGTATAATCGTGGCCGAGAATAAGGATGAAAAAAGCTGGAAGGAAGGACACCGCAGACAGAAGTGAGAAAACCGCCTTAAAGACGGCGTCCTTTTCCCTTGAGAACCCCGTTCCTCCAAACGCGAACCTTAAAACTGTCTCTAGAGCTGTGCTGCCAGTAGACAAACAATACAAGCCACATATGTAATTTTAAATATTATAGTGGCCGCCCGCACTGCCTCCCTCTCCCCACCCACTGCACGTACTAAGGAAGGCTCACAACCCGCTGCGCTCGCTTCGCCGCCCCATGTCTAGCTAGCCCAGTGTCCGCCGCGCCTTGGCCAAGGCCTCAACAGACCATACCAAAACGACATCTCAAATGGAACGTGCCATGGAAACCATGATGTTTACATTTCACAAATTTGCTGGGGATAAAGGCTGCTTAACAAAGGAGGACCTGAGAGTACTCATGGAAAAGGAGTTCCCTGGATTTTTGGAAAATCAAAAAGACCCTCTGGCCGTGGACAAAATAATGAAGGACCTGGACCAGTGCAGAGATGGCAAAGTGGGCTTCCATAGCTTCTTTTCCCTAATTGCGGGCCTCACCATTGCATGCAATGACTATTTTGTAGTACACATGAAGCAGAAGGGAAAGAAGTAGGCAGAAATGAGGAATTCCCCTGGCCCTGATAAAAGTTGTCCCAAAGGGTCACTTAAGGAATCTGCCCCACAGCTTCCCCCATATAAGGATTTCATGAGCAGATCAGGACCCTTAGCACGTGTACAAATAAAATCGAACTCCCATCTGATGAGCAGAGAAAGAAAAGTTAAACGCCAGACAAGCTTTTGATGTTTGTATTGTTTGCATCCCCTTGCCCTCAATAAATAAGTTCTTTTTTAGTTCTGAAAAAAAATATATTATAGTGGCCACATTAAAAAAGTAAAAAGAAACAGGGAACATTAAGTCTATTTTATTTATTTTTGAGATGAAGTCTTGCTCTGTCACCCAGGCTGGAATGCAATGATATGATCTCTGCTCACCGCTCATCACTTGCCTCTTGGGTTCAAGTGATTCTCCTGCCTCAGCCTCCCAAGTAGCTGGGATTACAGGCGCCTGCCACCACACCCAGCTATTTTTTGTATTTTTAGTAGACACAGGGTTTCACCATGTTGGCCAGGCTGGTCTCGAACTCCTCAGCTCAAGTGATCTACCCACCTCAGCCTCCCAAAGTGCTGGGATTACAGGCATGAGCCACCACACACGGCCAAATTAATTTTAATTCTGTATTTAGTTTAACACAATATAGCCAAAATATTATTAAAACATGTCATCAATATTAAAGTTATCCATGAAATATTTTACCTTTGTTTTATTCCAAGCCTCTGAGACTCAGTGTGTTTCAATTTGGTAGTGCATCTTGCAGCCATATTTCAGGGGCTCAAGAGCGACACATGCTTAGAGGCCACTGCAATGGATAGCATGGCTCTCAGCCCCTCTGGCTGGCCTGAGATTCACTCCTCGGGATGTTATATTGCATGAGTCCTCTGTCCTCCCACTATTTATTAGTTCTCCCCCACCTGCACTGCCCAGGATTGAGTCTTACGGTGTCTTTCCTCTAGAGAGGGAAATTCAACACAGGCACCCCGAAACTGCTGGGTTGTCCAGCTTTTCCACCAGGATGCCTCCTAGCCTCCCCTGAGAGCAATGCCATCCCCACATCCTCAAGGCGACCATCCAGAAACACTGGGGTGTCTTTTTAAGGCCGGCAGCTCCCAAGGCACTAGCACGCACCAGGTCCTCAAAGTGGACAAAGTAAAAGACGTGCTCAGATGGCCAGTCCCAGCCTGGACTGTGAGGCTGTAAGGGGCTCTGATTTCTAAGCCCTAAGGAGGAAATGGTCCCCCAGCAATCTCTTAGTGCCCACCCCAAAGCCTGGGTCTATTTTGGCCATTTAAAGTTCAGAGGCAAGGGGAGAGGATGAGCCTTCCTGAGAATCTGGGATCTAAGGAATACGCTTACAGGTCAGTATTAATGGGGGACAAAGGATAAGGAAGAGAAAGAAATGCAGGTTGCTCCTGAGCAAGACCAGTTTTCTCATTTCCTCTTCCTCCTTCTAAGGGGGACTACAATGCTGACATCTTTTAGAAATGTACTGATCATAGACAGGGTTCAATCACTCATTTCTTCCTGCTGGTTTGACTTCATTTGGGCAGCATCAGCAGCCAGAGGTCATAATTCTGGGTCAGCTTTCAAAACCCCTCACGGACAAGGCCTCCCTTCAGCGCCTGGCCCAGCGCAAAGTTTGGGCTCTCCCCAGCCTCTGCCTGCAGACCTCAAGTGCCAGTCTGACTTCCTCCCCTCAGAATGAGGCTCCCCTCGGCACCCACTTCCGTGGGGAAACAGGCAGCCAAAAAGATCACAGGGCATGAGAAGAAGAGCTCAAAACCCAAAGAAACCAGAGTCAGTGCCTACAGGATGCCACATGTCCTGTGGCAGAGATGGGAGGAGGGCGTATGTGGTCACGTGTCCTGTCCATATACAACTAGGGGAAGTATTCGGGAAAGGCCAGAGGCCAAGCGTCACTCCCAGGAGCCAGAAAGCTGGGGTTTTCTCTCTCTGCCTGTGGGGTGAGGGAGGGAGGGAGTATGTGTGTGTGTGTGTGCATGTGTGTGTGTGTGTCTGCGCACACACACATGTGCATGCAGGTTATGAGGTTTCAGTCACTTCCCATATCTGAGAAGGGATGCTTGCTGCTTTGCTCTTGTGAATCCCCCCATACCCCACCCAGGGACCAGCTCTAGTTGTCCACCTGGGTGTTACACTGGTTAGCCTCAAGCATGTGAGCAGGTGCACAGGCCAGGCTATCGGGTGGCTGTTGGACAGCTGTGAGCATATCCAGTGCACCTGTGTGTAGGGCTGGGGCATCCAGGAAGGCACCTGTGTGCTGATGCATGTGTCCCACTTCTCTGGATTTCGGTGGCTGAGGGATGACAGGGTCGGGGCTAACTCCAAGGCACTGATCCTACAGTGGCAGTGGTGGCAGACAATTCACAGAAGCCACATAGACTTGGAGAAGGGCTGTGCATCTAGAAAGACATACAAAGAAGGGTGGACTAGCACCTACTAGGTATGGGTGGGAAAATAGCACCCGCAAGAGAACAGGCAGCCGGGACAGCTGGAAAGTCCATTCCAGGCTGAGGGGCACAGAGCAGGGGTACTGTCAGATGGCCCAGCAGGCTGGGAGCAGTGATTTTTAAGCCACCAAGTGCTCTTGGCAAACAGGTCCATGAAATTCAGTTGCTTCCTCCCTCTGAACACGAAAGGAACGGATCGTTGCAGAGACAGTCACTGTTTCTGCTCACCTGAAGAGCAGCACTTTGATGTCCATTGTTATCATGTGACAGCTGAGACAAGGCTCATGAGGAATTCAGGCAACTAAAGTCATAAAAAGAGACTGCCTCAGAGTCGAGAGCAGCACTGAGACCATCTGCATGCAACTGCAGAAAAGTGGATGATGAAGAGAAGCAAGCAGAAACACAGTGAAAGAGAAATCTGTGCCTAAGGACCCTTGAGCCCACTAAGGGCATTGTCTAAACACCTGACCGGCCCTGGGCGTCTTAGGAGGCATGAGAAAGGGCCTGTTCTCTGGGACTTGTATTTTAAGATAAGCAGAGAAAAAAGTGTCTGAGCAAAAAGAACACTGAAAGACACAAGATTCCAAGTGGAAGTGGTTCTGGGTTACGTGCATCTGCCGATCACAGGATTACTGCTAACCGAAGAAAATACAGTTACCCAGGAGAAAAGGAGAAAGGCGAAGTAATTCCATGCAGATGATAGACATTGGGCCCCAACGGCCTGAAAGGTTCTGGTTTTAGATTCCCTGAAATTGTACCTTTTTTTTGAGACGGAGTCTTGCTCTGTCGCCCAGGCTGGAGTGGAGGGGTATGATCTTAGCTCACTGCAACCACCACCTCCTGGGTTCAAGTGATTCTCCTGCCTCAGCCTTCACAGTAGCTGGGACTACAGGCACTCGCCATCACGCCCGGCTAATTTTTGTATTTTTAGTGGGGACGGGGTTTCACCACGTTGGCCAAGCTGGTCTCAAACTCCTGATTTCAAGTGATCCACCCACCTTTTGGCCTCCCAAAGTGTTGGGATTACAGGTATGAGCCACCAAGCCTGGCCCTGAAATTGTATCTTTACTCTTTCTCTGTTGGTCCTCAGGGAAGTCTAAGCTCCTTTGCCCATGATGCTGAGCTGGGCAGGTTTTGGCAAGAGTAGGGGAAACTGAGCCAGCCTTGTGGACTGAAATGGCATCTCCCTTCCCACAAGGAACCAGACACCTGCTCTGCTGGGAAAGAGACAAAGGTCTGGGTGCTGCAGCTTTCCCCAGGGTCCAGAGACAAAGTGAGTGGCCTGAGGGACAGTGCCCACCAAGGTCACCAGCCAGGCCCTGGCCAGTGGGCTCAGCTGGCCTGGAGGTGGTGGGAAAACACATCACGAAGCATGCACTTACTTTTCACGTGGGTGGCAAGAGACAGAAACAAATTTTCCACGGACTTATTAAATCCTCTAAACTGACCAAGTTCCTGTAACTAAAACAGAGACAGAAGGAGAGAATGAGAGTTATGCTCAATGACTTGTTTGCCTCAGCAGTGCCCAGGCTGCCAACCCCAAAACACTGGCCTGTGGGTGTGTGGGTGTGGTGCTTGGGGTACAGGTGGGTGTGGTGTATGTATGCAGGCCTGGAGGGGATGCCAGTCTTCCCCAGGGCTTGGCATCCTCTTTACTCAGCGTCTCTCCTGCTTTTGACATTCACATCGAAGGAGCATCATCAACAGGTTGTTGACAAGATGTCAAGTACCCCTTGGAAATGATGCCTGGCATTTCACTGGCTCAAAGACTGTACTCAAGGAAATTACTGCTTGTTCACCCTCTTTTCTCCTGTAGCCCTACCCCAACTCTCTGCAGAAGGGATGTCAACAGAGGCAGAATGCGGGTGCCACAGGGCAGGACAATGGCAAAAGCTGCAAGGTGACTAGCCAAGAGCTGAGGGGCTCCATTTCCCGAAGCAGAAGAGAAGAAAAAGGAGATCAAACAACAGAAAGGAGATCGCTTCCCTCTCCGGGTCCCATCCATTCATCCATCCATCCACCCATCTAGCCACCAAACATCCATCCATCTTACCATCCATCCAATCATCCACCTGACCAATAAATACATCTTGAGCATGTAGGTACTGGAACAACTCTGGAGAATTTATAATTTCAAGGAAAAAGCAGAGCAGGATTTTGAAGGTCACCCCAGAGTCTCAGTTGGAAATGGAAAAAAAACGTATGTGATTCTTCTCCCTTATTAGCATTATATATTTGGGGGTTTGGATCACAATCTCAAAGACTCGGTCTCAAATGCCATCACCACAAATGTTGAAAGATCAACACAAAATCCCTAAAGTTTAAATCCCTAAAGATTAAAATCCCTGAAATCTAAATTCCTAACATCGAAAACCCACAAAATCACAATTACAGGATAGTTGCATCACATTGGGGGGAACTGTTACCTTGTCACCATCTTTATTAAATTAAGTATGACTTAAGAAGATCCTGTGGGTACTAGATTGACAAGAGGTAGACTCATGGACTTAATTAATGACACCTTAATTTTAGGCATCCATTTGACTGGATTCAGGAATATTTAGAAACCTGGTAAGGCATTATTCTGGGTGTGTCTGTGAGGGTGTTGTCAGAGGAGATTAGTGTGAGTCTGAGATGATTAGGTTAGAAAGATCTGCCCTCAATATCAACAGGCACCATCCACTCAACCAGGGGCCCAAGGAGAACAAATACAGAAAGTGAATTGGTGTCTGAGTGCTGGAACACAGTTTTCTTCTGCTGCCTTGGACATCAGAACTCCAGGCTGACTGGCCATTGGACTCCACGACTTAGACCAGAGGCTCCCTGGGGTCTGAGTCTTTGCATTGGGAGTTATATTATCAGAGGTGTGTGAACCACAGCAACTCCATCTTGAATAGGGGCTAGGCAAAATGAGGCTGAGACCAACTGGGCTGCACTCCCAGGTGATTACTTATTCTAAGTCACAGGACTAGACAGGAGGCGAGCACAAGATACACGTCATAAAGACCTTGCTGATAAAACGGGTTGCAGTAAAGAAGCCAGCTAAAGCCCACCAAAGACAACCTGGTGACCTGAGTGAACTCTGGTCATCCTCACTGCTACACTCCCACCAGCGCCATGACAGTTTACAAATGCCATGGCAACGTCAGGAAGTTACCCTGTATAATCTAAAAAGGGGAGTATGAATAATCCACCCTCTGTTTAGTATATCATTGAGAAATAACCATAAAAATGGGCAAGCAGCAGCCCTCAGGGCTGTTCCATCTATGGAGTAGCCATTCTTTTTTTTTTTTTTTGAGAGGGAGTCTGGCTCTGTAGCCCCAGGCTAGAGTGCAGTGGTGCTATCTCGGCTCACGGCAACCTCCACCTCCAGGGTCCCAGTTCAAGCAATTCTCCTACCTCAGCCTCCCAAGTAGCTGGAATTACAGGCACAAGCCACCATGCCCAGCTAATTTTTGTATTTTTTAGTAGAGACGGGGTTTCACCATGTTGGCCAGTCTGGTCTTGAACTCCTGACCTCGTGATCCACCCGCCTCAGCCTCCCAAAGTGCTGGGATTACAGGCGTGAGCCACCAGGCCCGGCCAGAGTAGCCATTCTTTTTTCCTTTACTTTCCCAATAAACTTGCTTTCACTTTACTCTGTGGACTTGCCCTGAATTCTTTCTTCCACAAGATCCAAGAACCATCTCTGGAGATTTGAATCGGGACCTCTTTTCGGTAACACCACCATCAGCTTTCCAGGTGCTGAGGCCTTCGAACTTGGGCTGAGACATGCTACTGGTATCCCAGGGTCTCCAGTTTGCAGATGGCTTGTGGAGAGACTTCTCAGCCACCGCAATCATGTGAGCCAACGCCCCTAGTAAGGCCCCTCTCATGTAGCTATATACACATCCTGTTGGCTATGTCTCCCTGGAGAACTACAGATTCAGTATTGAGGAAGCCAAACATCATTTTTCCTTACTGTATTCCTTACAACCCAACAGAAGAGATCTGTGAAACTGTTCCTTCACAAAAAAGGCCGTGATATGTGTATATTATTTAATAATGAATAAAAGTTTTAAAAAGCTAATTGTATTGGTATCACAAAGGCAGGAAATAGCTTAATTATAATGACTGAGCAATAACCAGCCTTTCAAATGGACAGCATGTGCTTACAAAACGCATAGACCACAACCTCTCTCCAAATACAAGGCAGCAAGTGTTTCACAGATCCTAAAAGTAAAGTAAAACACAGGCAAAAAAAAACAAAAACAAAAACAAAAAACCCAAGAAATCTCCACTGGCAAATTATATAGTTCTGTGTGAATTCTCCCCTTTCATACATAGCACAGTTCACTATGCTACGTATTTTTTTTTTTTTTTTTTGAGACAGAGTCTCACTCCATCACCAGGCACCAGGCTGGAGTGCAGTGGCGTGATCTCGGCTCACTGCAACCTCCGCCTGCTGGATTCAAGCAATTCTCCTGCCTCAGCCTTCTGAGTAGCTGGGACTACAGGCATGTGCCACCGCGCCCAGCTAATTTTTTTGTATTTTATGTAGACACGGGGTTTCACCATGTTGGCCAGGATGGTATTGATCTCTTGACCTTGTGATCCGCCCGCCTCGGCCTCCCAAAGTGCTGAGCTTACAGGCGTGAGCCACCGCGCCTGACCTATGCTATGTATTTCATCTGCATCATTTCCCATGCTGGAGGTAAAAACTGCATAGAGACTTTTAGAGTTTTAATTTGTGTTATGCATTTTTTTTTCTGCAAATTGACTCCATGGAAGTATGTCATCACAACATGACTTTGACATGTACATAAAAATGTTGATATTTCCTCAGTAAGTGAAGAGATCTCCTTTTTGTGCATCTGTATTTGCAAAAGATACAATTTCTTGAAATCTCAGCCGTTTGGGTGACTGCATATGCAGTGGTGACCCACAGCGGTTTTTGATCCATCTCGTCAAATGACTGTTTGAAAAGTACCTTTGTTCATGACAATATTTCAGTTACAAAGCTGGATCTGCACAATACCAGCCATCGTAATATGTGTTTCTACATTCCCCTTTCTGATGTATTTCTTTATAAATATGGCTCATCTGCTCATAACTGTTATACTCATGGGACTGGCGTTAGTACAGCTTAGAGTTCATGCTTGTAAAAATATGCATGCTGTTTCAGCCTATTTATTGTGTAAAGCGGCCAATGAAGTGTTCCGTCACGGTTTTTGATTTTAGTTTGTTTGTTTAGAGACAGTCTAGCTCTGTCGCCCAGGCTGGAATGCTGTGGTGCAATCATGGCTCACTGTAGCCTTGGCCTCCTGGGCTCAAGGAATCCTCCTCCCTTAGCCTCCTAAGTAGCTAAGTCTACAGGCATGTGCTGCCATACCCAGCTAATTTTGTTATTTTTTGGAGAGATGGGGTCTCACTATGTTGCCCAGGCTGTTGTCACGTTTTTATATGTTTCTCAAATCCCCTTTAAATTTTTAAAGTAAATTTCTTCAAAATAATTTTTTAGATTTTCTAGAATTATATTTTTAGGATTTTGCTCTTTCAGGATCCAGCATTCAGGATGATGGCACTCATCATCTGGGAGTATGATCAGCTCCCATATTCTCCCGTATATAACTGCTCTCTTTGATTTACAGAATAATAATGAAGATAACCAAGACAATGTATTTTCATGGCACTTTATGGTTCTCCAAGTACCAGCATAGACATTATTTTGTTAATTTCTCACAACAGCTACGGGAGGACAAATATAGATGCTTTCTGACTTACGATGTTTTGACTTACAATTTTCTGACTTGATGATCGTGTGAAAGCAATACATATTCAGTAGAAACCATACTTTGCATTTTGATCTTTTCATTTTGCATAAGATTTTTATTATTATAAAATAGGCTTTGCATTAAATGATTCTGCCCAACTGTAGGCTAACGCAAGTGTTGGAGCACATTTAAGGCAGGCTAGGCTAAGCTATGATATTTGGTAAGTTAGGCGTATTAAATACAATTTTTTTTTTTTTTTTTTTTGAGATGGAGTCTTGTTCTGTTGCCCAGGCTGGAGTGCAGTGGCACTTGGCTCACTGCAACTTCCACCTCCAAGGCTCAATTAATTCTCCTGCCTCAGCCTCCCGAGTAGCTGGGACTATAGGTACCCACCACCATGCTCAGCTAATTTTTGTATTTTAGTAGAGATAGGGTTTCACCATGTTGGCCAGGCAGGTCTCGAACTCCTAGCCTCAAGTGACCCACCTCAGGCTCCCAAAGTGCTGGGATTACAGGCATGAGCCACCATGCCTGGCTAAACATATTTTTGACTTATAATATTTTCAACTTACTATGGGTATATTGGGACATAACCCTACCATAAGTCAAGCAGCAGCTGTGTAATTACTTCCACCTCTCAGGGGGGAAACCCAGGTAACTTCCCCAAGATCGCACAGGTAATTTTTTTGGACAGAAATGGTGCTGGTCCACTGTACATTAGAGCCTGCAAACACGCGAAAGAGACACTCCCACTCTTGCATACCCATAACCAACCTTATTCCCCCTTAGAGCCCAGAGATGCTACACACACACCAGCACAAAGCAGAGTTGGGGAAGAGGGCTGACGCCATGCCAAGAGTAAAGAGACCTTAGGTGCAGGCAGAAGGGGTCACTGATGACGCAGATGGTTCCGCCACCAGATGGAGAGAAGCTCTGTCCAGCCTCGAGTCCCTCACTCCCTGCCCCACTTTGTGACCCGCTCCAGGCACAGTCAAATCCCTTTGCTGGGAGGTGCCCAGCCTCAGCCTTGAAAGCTCCCCTGCTTCCTCTCCTTGCCCCTTCCCCCTGCTAGAGAAGCGCCCAAAATGGATGCATTACCCTGCCAGGACTGCGGCCGCACTGGCTGTCACTCAGAGGAGGTGGAGTAGGAGGAACCACAGAAATTTTGCTGCAAAGGAAAATACAGGAATAAGAAACGGGTTGTGAACTATGCAGGTCATTAGCTTTACAAATACATAAAATGTGTCACTATTCTGGAATTCAAGTTCTCCACCTTTTTTTTTTTTCTTTTTTTTTTTTTTTTGAGATAGAGTCCTGTTCTTTGTCCACGCTGGAGTACAATGTCATGATCTCAGCTCACTGCAACCTCTGCCTCCTGGGTTCAAGTGATTCTCCTTCCTCAGCCTCCCAAGTAGCTGGGATTACAGGAGCCCACCACAACGCCCGGCTAATTTTTACATTTTTAGTAGATGGGGTTTCACCATGTTGGCCAGGCTGGTCTCAAACTCCTGATCTCCAGGGATCCCAAAGTGCTGGGATTACAGGTGTGAGCCACCACATCCAGCCTCTGCCTTCTTTTTTAACTGCCTCACTTTTTGGAAAAATAGCCAGCAGCCCTGCTTGGACCTGCTGCTCTTTGCGGGGCATGATTTCCTGGTATCTATATGAGGGTGACGCTGCCTTAAGCCTGGGTACTCCGCTCTGCTCAGTCATATGTTCTGAAATGCCCTAGGCGCCTGGGCCTGGACCTGCCACCTGGCTGCGGGGAAACTCCTGACTCCCACCTGCACTCCCGTGTTCTCTTAGCACAAACCATACCAGCAGAAGCACCGCAAATGTTGGGGATGTGAAAATCAACCATGAAGGAAACTGGAAGCTTGTGCTGAAAGAAATGGGAAAGACTGCTGGGAGCAGTGGCTCATTCCTGTAATCCCAGCACTTTGGAAAGCCAAGGCAGGCAGATCACCGGAGGTCAGGAGTTCAAGACCAGCCTGACCGACATGGTGAAACCCTGTCTCTACTAAAAATACAAAAATTAGCTGGGTGTGGTGGCACTTGCCTGTAATCTCAGCTACTTGGGAGGCTGAGGCAGGAGAATTTGCTTGAACCTGGGAGGCGGAGGTTGCAGTGATCTGCGATCTTGCCACCGTACTCCAGCCTGGAGACTGAGCGAGACTCCATCTCAAAAATAATGGGAAAGAATAGGGGAGGAAAAAAATGAAAGAGTCTTGATACTGGAAAATTTCACCATGGGCCAAACAAAATAGCGGCTGGTGGGGGCTTTCAGAAATACTTTCATAAATTCAGTGTCATCAGGTGTGTGAATGACGGCCAGCTTCATGACTGCTCGGTTTTTAGAATTTTGTGCAAAGAAGTTCACATCTCTCAGGCCATCATTCAACTTTATCAGTGTTTATTCCACCAATATCACTAACGTGCCAGGTGCTGGGGAAGGTGTTAGAGATAGGCATGATTAATCAAAGCAAATGCTTGCTTTAGAATTTCACTTAAGGTGCCATTAAAGATGATATTTAGTTTCCTTATAACATTTCAGGAGAATTTAAGAAACTGAGCAGAATTGCTGGGTACGGTGGCTCACACCTGTAATCCCAGCACTTTGGGAGGCCAAGGCGGGCGGATCACAAGGTCAGGAGTTTCAGACCAGCCTGCCCAACATGGTGAAACCCTGTCTCTACCGAAAATACAAAAATTAGCCGGGCGTGGTGGCTTGTGCCTGTAATCCCAGCTACTCAGGAGGCTGGGGCAGGAGAATCCCTCGAACTGGGGAGGTGGAGGTTGCAGTGAGCCAAGATCACACCACTGCACTCCAGCCTGGGTGACAGCGAAATTCCGTCTTAAAAACAAGAAACAGAGAAGAATGTTTAGTGAGAAAATACCATGCTTCTCATGAGAATCTGCAAAGCTTCTCATGAGAATCTGGAAACATCTCTGTTTTAATCTTTTTCAGGAACTTTACCTTTAAAACAAACAAAAAAAAAGAGGTACATTCCAAAGCAGTGACATGTGAAAGTCAAAGATCTATAAGTTCTTTCAGAGCGTCCTCTGCGCTCCTGCCCTGGAGGGCCTGGGACGGTCTGTCCCATGTAACACTCACCTCAGCTTCTGATAAGATTGCAAGAGCTGTGCTCCAGCTGTCTCATGTTTGCCTGCAAGAGATAGCAATAGAGGTCATTTATTAGTAGGAATAGCATTCGACTGGTTGAAATACAGGAAATAATAGATTAAAATTATTTTCTCTAGTATCATTTCTTGTGATTCAAAAGTAGGAGATCATTTTGAGGTGATAGAAATGTTCCAAAATTAGCTTGTGGCGATGGTTGTACAACTTAGTAAACGTACTCAACATCACTGCATTGTACACTGAAAAGATACATTTGACGTTCTGGAAATTAGACTCCCCTAAAGCCGTTGTTTAAGCTTTGTGGCACACACAATATGAAGCCATCATTGTTGGGAATGACTGCTTTTATTAAAAGTTGATGTGGATTAGCTTTCCTAAATCTTCCATTCGTCCTCTGGAAACATTTCATAATGGAATGAGTCTATTCCTCTAAACTGGCCTTGTGATGAAGATTAAATTAATCTTTTAAAAACTGTAATCTACTTATTTCTAGTTATGGAAGCTCATAATTTCCTAAATAAGACTGCATCTGATATAGTACTCTTTTTGTTGCAAGAAAAGAGGTTTTTATGATGTATTAAGATCCCAGAAATAAAACGCAGCGTGTTCCCAGTTCTGTGAACTCAACGTTTCCTGGCCAGGTGCATAGGAAGACATCAGTCTTCACCCAGCAGGGGGCCGGGAAGCAGGTTTCTCCTGCTAAGGGAGATTCCCAGGGGCCTCCATCTACCCAATACACAGGCCAGACTACCAGGCCTGCCACCCTCAGAGGCGGTCCAGCTCCTGTGCCGTGCCATGCGCTTGGGGGATTTTAGCCATTCCAAAGAAACATTTACATATGGAAACATAATTTCCATAAGACACACTGAAGGACGAGGACAGTGAGAAAGTCAGATGGGCTGACCTTTGGGAGGGCAAACAGCATCTGATGTTGAGCTTTCAACACCAAGCCTCAAGCCTCAAAGGAAGGAGGCAGCCCCCAGGTCGGGGTCCTTAACCCAGGCTGGCCACAGGGAGCACAGGAGCCTTTGAAATCAGCTAAAGTTTCCAGTCTACCTGCCTGTGTGCATTTTCTGGGGTTCATCTAGGGTACATCTGGCATTCTTGGGTTATTATAAGGTGCCTGTCAGCCTTCCCTCCCCATTAAGAAATGCTTCTCTAAGACAGAATGAGAAGGTACAATGCAGCCTTGCCTGAAGCTCCAGCACTCAACTAGTAGAACCAGCTGGTAATAGATGAAAGCTGGCACCTGCAGGAGCTGCCTAGAGAAAACATCCAGGTCCAAGCAAGAGAGACAGCCTGACTGCAGCGTGCTGGCTGTGGAAGCAAGAACAACAGCCACACTGCTCATCCTGCCTATCTCAGGGAGGGCACAGGCCCCAGAGACAGCAAGCGCAGAGCAGTCTGTGGGCAGGGACATACCACAGGGTGCTCCTGTCCCTGGGTCCCCCTGCCACATGTGGTCTTACAGCCCTCACTGTCACCCTGCCCCACATCTCCTGCTCTACATGACCTTACAGCTCTGTCACCCTGTCCCGGGACCCCCTGCTCTATGTGACCTTACAGCCCTGTCACCCTGTCCTG